GCAATGAGATGATATATGATAGAATGAATGTAAAACTAATGTTCTCCCATGTAAACTATCACATAATTCACAATAAAACATTTAAGAAAAAAAAGAAAGAGACTCTTTGGTAAGGAAAGGCTTCATGTTTAGAATGTATCAGTTAAAAGAAAACTTTAAAGAAGATTTAGAATAAATTAAGTGGTGTTTTAACACACTGGGTTAAGGATGCTATGGGATTTGGGTATGCTTATCTGACTTCTAAGTTTTGAGAACAAATCCTACTATTGTGTCACTGCTAAAGACCCGTTTAGACGTTCACACTGAATTATTTTGTGCCTTAAAATATTTATAGTAGGTTGTAAGGGTGCAACCTTAGGGTTAAAAGATATTTTGTTGGTCAAAATCAGCAAATTTATATTACTTCCTAAAATTTTGTTTCAAAGATAGTTTGACTTATATATGAGAAGCTGGCAATTATTTTGAAAAACTCAGGTTAATTATCAGTTACTTGTTTCTGTATTTAGTAAACAACACTGTAGTCTTAGATTCCAAGCTGAGGTAAATTTCCCAGTTCATTCACCTCAATAGGCTATTGAGGGTATGTGTTATATTAAACCTTGTGGTAATTCTTAATGTTAAAGGAATTAAAAAGCATCTTAAATCACAGACAGTGCCTACATAGGATTGTAGTACAATGTGATAAGTACTTCTTTTGGGTTTCAAATCTGTGTCTTCTAACTCCTAAGTGCAGATTTCAAATTGTTGTTTAGTGCTGTCGAGTCAGTTCTGACTCATAGTGACCCTGTATTAAAGTTTCTGAGGAGCGGCTGGTGGATTTGAACTACCAACCATGCAGTTCCATCTGACCTTGCAGTCCAGAGCTTATTGTACAGCACCACACCAAGATTCTAGATGTCTAATATAATAGGTGGAAATCTTTGAGTTTGCTTTTTGTTTTTCCCAGAGATTACTTTGGAGTCAGAGACTTGCCTCAAGAACCCTTGACTTCTTCCCAAAGTAGCTTGGGAGCCAAAGCTTGATCCATGTCAGCTTGTATTTACTGTGGGTTGTGAAGGGAAGTAAGTGGCAAAAGGGAAAGAGCACTCAGAAAAAATATTTCACGTAGAATAATGATTATAATTCAACTTGGGCATTCTTAATGATAGGTGTTAATTGACTCTGCCTTTTTTCAATTCTGTTTCTTTGTCTAGGTGTGTGTGGAGTTTGATGGAGAAACTTGGAGGAAGAGAAGATGGATAGAAGTGTATAGCCTTCCAAGAAAAGCATTTTTAGTTGAGCATAACTTAATTTTGGCTGAACGAAAATCTCCTGAAATTTCTGAACAAATTGTTCAGTGGCCTGCAATAGTGAGTAAAATGCCTCTTAAGGCCTATTGAACTAATGAGAAGAGTATATTTCATCCATTATGGGAGAAACAAGGCAATATATATATGTAATGTCTACATTCAGCTCTCTCAAAATAATGATATAGGATGTGTAATAAGATGGAAGAATTAGAAACATGACAGGGATTTCTCCCAGCCCATCTAGGAGCTTTGAGATACTGGGCCAGAACCTTGATTTTGTCTTGTTTCTTTCTTTTTATTGTGAATTGAGTGAAAGTTTTACATCACAAATCATTAGTTTTACATTCGACAAATTATATTTTGTTTCATTGCAATGATTACAATCTCCTCCGTGTACTAACATTTGCCATTATTTACCTAGTCCCTCTTTTTTTTTTT